AAATAAATTTCAGATATAGTAGCTAGTGTAAAACCTTTAAGCAAACTATTTAAATTAGACAATCTAAAGTTGTACATATAGCTAGTTATACTCTCATATATGTAATCATTACTCAAAACTATCTATACCAATAAAAATCTTACTGATGACATGTTGTATCAAATAAAAAAAAAAAAAAAAAAAACAATATTCAAAAAGAATGAAAAATATTTTATAAAGTATATAACTCAGAAAACTATACTTATATCTAATAACAAATTACTATAGCTACTAAAAAAAAATATTAAGCTCTTCAAACTTAACTAACAAAAATAATAAATAGTATATTAAACTAGTATACTAACTATATTAACTTTGATAATATTAAAACTGAAAATGATCTGATTACAGATCCAAAGCTAATTAAAAACTATATCAAAAACTACTTTAATAATTAGATAAATTACTATTTAATAGTTAAACAAATCTTTAATAATACATAGAAAAACTGTTATTAAACTAATATATCTATAACTATGAATACTATAGAAATTCTCAAACTAATTATATTAGAAGAAATCTTATCTACTCTATAACAACTACTAAATAACAAAGCTTATAACCTATTAGATATAAGCTACAAAATACTAAAACATACTAACAACTTTATTCAAGCTATTATAATTTTATTAAACAGATATTTAAAATTATAACAGATCTTAAAACAATAAAAAAAAGGTATTATTTTTTTTATTTAAAAAAACCAACTTTTAATAGAAATTTAAACAATACTTATTCTATTAGCTTTTTAAATATATTATTATTAAATAAGTTTTAATACTTTTATCTTTATTTTATATTTATTAATTAGTTATTCTTTATTTGTATTTTATAAATTATCTTATAAGTTAGCAATATCTTTAAATAGTATTATTAGAATCAGAATAGTCTCATGATTATAATGAGCTATAATTTGTAGGAATTAGATTAATAGTTATTGAGTAATAAGTATTAAGAAATCTCTATTAACGTTAACTATACTTAACTATGTTTAACTATGTTTGAAGATATTTAACTATGTTTGAAGATATTTAACTATATTTGAAAATGTTTAATAATATTTAAAGATGTTTAACTATATTTGATAATATTTGAAGATATTTAGCTATGTTTAAGGATATTAAGAAAAAATTATAAAAATTCTGCCTTTTCTCCCTTCTGTTAAAGTTTTTTTTTTATTGTTACAACAGGGCCTCGATATCAGTTAATTTTTATTAAGTTGTTTGTAGGTTTACATTGATAAGTAAGAGTACAATTAGTCACATATACAACTTTTAATCATTGTCTATTTAAAGGTTCTGCCCAGAGGTTACTTACTAATTGCCATACCTAGTATCCCCTTGCGGATACTTTATTTTAAACTCTCTGGCATACTGTCATCTCTAATATTTAATCTAATTAGTCTTAAACCTGCACAATCTTGTGCTGCCTCATAGAGGACTACCTAAACCAGCCTTGTACCTCAGTTTCCATTATTAGGAGGGCCCTATCTCAAGATACCTTTTGTCCTCATCAGGAGAGGCTTGTGGAATACCTCAACTATGCTGTGCTATATCCTAATTAAGCTAGTATATACTCTTATAGATATTTGCACAAACCCAGTTCCTATCGTACTCTCTACCAGATATTGTCCTTCAAGATTAAAAATTAAATATTTATAAGATATTAAATTTAATAAATAAAATAAATTAATTTAATTAGCTTAAATTAGCTTTTGTCAATTCAACTCTCCTCGCTGATCACCTAAACCATTACGAAGCAAATATTTTTTAAAATACAAAATAATTTTAAACTCTAGGAAACCTAGCAAAATAGTAGTTATTAAATAGAAGCGTGAGTTGTATAGCCCAGTATACTTTATGTAAGAGGCATAAAGACTTAGCGGGTGATAATACTGTTATTTTAGCTAAAAGTTTACGTTATAGTATTTTAAAGAAAAAGAAGAAGAAAAGAAGTAGTAGAGAAGAAGAAGAAAAAACAACAAACAGTGTTTTGCATAGAGGCAAACACTTCAACTCTCTTTCACTTCGTAACTAGTTTTTGCAAGCAACCTTCTCTATTCTTTGACCAACAAAACTGATATGATAACCGTAGCTTTTTCATTTTGTTTTCATTTTGAAAAAGTGAGATTCTGGCTCACTCCTAACAAAGGATCAGCACTCGTACCACCTTCTATTTTGAGCAAGTCACGTCTTGATTGTTTACAAGTCGATTAACATATGTGAAGCCAACATGGATCTGCTTACGTAAATAGAATATTAGCTAACAAGAAGTTATACTTGAGATTTATAGTATTTGTGTTAGTACTATAAATAATTTTTATCTTTTATGCCTTAGCACGGGCTATAATAGTGTGTTCTATCTTAATTATCTTTTTTTCTGCCTTCTTTTTCTTCTTTCATTTTTTTTTTGTATTTTCTTTTTTTTCATTTAGGCAGCTTTTTCTCTCTTTTTGTCTTTTCTCTTTTATATTTCTTGTTATTTGTTTTTTTCGTTAGTCAGTTGAAATATAAATCCTTCGGCTCAGGAAGCTAGGAGAAGAAGATTAGAGAATTAGGTAATCTTGATATGAACGGTATATAGTAACTTTCTGTCGATCATTTGAATATGACTTTGCTTCAGCAAACTGTTCTTATGGGAGGAAAATTTGACTATTACGGTTAGATCGTACCTGGGCACTGTCTGGTAGCTGAGTGAGTTCGAATTTGCATGGAGAGAACATTATGTAACTAGCTTAGCTTAGTTTATATTTTTGTTATAATATATCTTATGTTTTCTCTTAATAAATGAAGGGCAAGATCGCCTAAGTTTTAAAAAAAAAAAAAATAAATTAGCTTTTGTATAATATATTATAAATATAAAAAATAAATTTAGTTAATTATATTTATTTATAGCTATATAGCTAATAAGTTATTAGTATTTTAAAACTAATAACTTATTAAAACTAACTACTATATATATTAGTTTAAACAGATTATACTATATACAAATAGCTTTAGTAACAATAGTATCTCTTATATTGTAAAGAAATGTAAGCAAATTTGTCTGTATAATAGTCTAAATATAGTAATAATCTATATTTTTAAAGATTTAAAATATCTAAGTAAAAATTTATATATGAATATTTGAATATAAAGATTATATTTTTATAGTATTTATTTTTATATTATAAGATAAAAAGTTTGTATTATCTATAAGCTAAAAATAGATAATTTTAAAAAAATTTTTTACTTAAAAATTTAATTAATATTTTTAAATAGACTTTTAATTTAAATTTTAGAGATATAATTCTTAAAGCAATTTGATAGAATTTTTAAAGAATTACAACTTTTATTATTACAACTTTTATGATTTAATTGAAAGAATTTAGACTTGTATTAAAAATAAAAATTTTTTAACTTCAGAAACATATAAAATTTATAAATTTTAAAAGAAAAAATTTTATAATAAAAATTTATAAAGCTAAACTTTAAAGCTTTATTACTCAAAAGATTTTTAATAAATTTAAAAAAGTTTCTTAATAAAAATTTTTATCTGATATTAAAAATTATTTTTAAAAGTTACAAGCAAATTTAACTATAATACAATTTAAGAGATACTATAAAAATATATATTAGCTTTATATATATATTATTTTGATATATAAATATATATAAATATACTAATTTTTTTTTTTATTTAATATTATTAATTAAATAAAAAAAAATTTTAACCTGCAAGTTAAAAAATTTTTTTATAAATTAATAATATATATAAAATTAAGATATAAATTAGTGTTGTTACTAGAAAACTACTAGAAAGTTATTGGAAAGCTACTAGAAATAAAATTAATAGTGTTACTAAAACTTTACAAAATCTTATTTGAAAGCTAGAAATTCTTACTGAAAGCTAAAATTGACAATACTATATTAAATTATTTGATTTATAATTAAACTATTTTAAATCTTTATAAAATAATATCGATATATCTTATATCTATTATCTTAAAAAATTTTAATAATACAATTAAAAATATCGATTAACTAATCAAATTAAACTTGTTTTAACTTATAAAAAAAAATTTTTTTTAAACAAATTATCTGTTATTTAAAATTATAACAAAAATAATTATATTCAAAATTAAAAAAAATTGCAATTTTTTTTGTTTAATTAAAAATTTTTGCAAATATAAAATTAATATTATTATTATATTTATATTTGTTTATTAATATATATTTTTACAAAACTATATTATGTTTTTATCTTTTTTTTAAACAATTTTTATTGAAAATATAAACAAGTATAAACAATTGCAAAAATGATTTTTTTTTTTTTTTTTTTTTTTTTTTTTACAAGATTTTTTTCTCAGAAGTTGAAAAAAAAATCGAAAAAGAGTCATAAGTATTCAAAATTGTTCATCATATATTACGGTGTGTATAATGAGAAAATCAAATTTATATTGTATTTTGAATGAAACGAAGTTTTTTTGCTTTTTTTTAGAAAAAGAAATGTAATATGTAACTATATACAAAAAATAAAATAAAATAAACTTATAGAAACTTATTAATCAATTTTAATAAGTATTTTCCTCTTAATAGATTTGGTATTAGAACCAAGATTCATAAATTTTATATTATGTACTTTGTAAAGTTTCGTTGTGTTGTGTTGTATGAAGAAAAACCTCACGAAATGAAGAAAAAAAAATAACTACAGAAAAAGATATATATATATTCACAAGTAAAACAAAAATTCGAGAGGTAGAAAGAAGTCGAGTAAACGCCAAATGTGAATGGTAAAATTAAGTGTTCGAAGAAATCGATATTGAGAGAAATTGACACGAAATGAGGAAAATAGAGAATGAGGAAAGTGTCCAGCATTGAAATAAATTTTCATCCATTTTTGAAAGTATCCGTTCGTTATATTTAATTAATTTTGGACCAAAAATATTTTATGGCCACACTTTTCCAGTCCTAAACACTACACCATCACCACGACTTAATAGGATTGGTCGACCACTCATGCTCATTCTTCCGTTCGAAAGCCAATGAAAATGACGGCCTTGAAGACCAGAAATGTCCCGCTTAATATTATTATTATGCTCTATTTCATACATCAACTCTTCTGGTAACCAACATACCAGGCAATCTTTCGACCTAAACTCTGTTCTAGGACTCGGGATATCTCCAAACCATACAATTAGATCTCGAGTAAAGTTATCACCATATATAGTTATAGTGTTTGGTGTTGTCGAATGCTGATGTTGTGATGTAGGAATTGAACAGGATGTTGATGACGTAGCGCTTAGTATGTTTGAAATACTTGGTAATGGAGTTACTGGCATAGGCAAAGATAATGATGAAAGATGATGAGGTGGGCTTATTGAGCCAGAAATTACATTTTGTGGAGAATAAAACGTATATGATGCACAGTCTATTATAAATTAAGTTGTTAATTCGTAAGAGTTCTAAAATTGAAATTCAGCACAAACATGTTTACATACCAGTTCCAACAATCGTCCAGACAGCAGCATCAGTTACATCTTCAGTCCATAAAGCACCAGCGTTATCATGGTGCCGGTGACCAACCGAATTCCTGACGCTGGCGAATTTCGCAAGATCAACTTCACTTGCTACACCACTTAAACTATTTACCCTTCTTCGGTTTTTTGTTAATGCAGCTTTGGATAATGTTGTAGTGGGCCTAACCACCACCGATGAGGAAACACGTCGCTTTCGGATAACTTTCCCACCTTCAGCGGTAACCACAGCAGATTCAGGCAGTGGGTTTGAATCCACAGAAAAATCTGTAGCTGCAGATGCCCAAGCTGCTGCAACTGCTGATGAAATGTCGCTCTGGGAAGATATTGGAGAATTAGTCTTCATGTCCAAAAAATTGGTATTAATCGATACAGTTGATGGTTGAGTTATGATTTTTCGGCCTTCATTTGCACGTTGCATTCCTACAACATCTCCTAGGCAAGCAAGATAAGTACCAGGTCCCGGGGGATGTTGATTATTTGGTGGTTGGAATGTCGGAGAGGTTGAAGGCGAGGAAGATATGCTGGTATCCTTAATTTGAAATGCAACTTTGTGAAGTTGTGAAACTGGATCACCTAAAGCTATTTAAAAGATAATATTATTTATTAATATGTATGAATATGAATAACTCATGTAATAATTATATAAATAATAACCTTCTTCAGCTTCTCCAT